CCATCTGAAATATCTCGCTTATTTTTGATGATATAAAAAAAATGTTTCAATGAAAGTGGAAGGTTTTGAGGGAAACGTATTTTGGTCATGTTGGTTTTTTTTAGGTGGAGGCGTCAAAAAGATATGAAAGTTACCTCCACTTTTTTAAACGAAATTGTATGATTTTTTTTTTACATAATATGATTCCTTTAATTATTCTGCATATAAAAGTATTAAGGTAATAATATCAAAAAAACCAATAGTTGACGAGATATTTTACATTTTATTCTGACACATATTGACATAAAATGTTAAATAATTCATAAACTATTAACTTTTTGATAATCGTACCTTAATACTTTTACGAACAGAATAATGAGATGAATCAGTTGTGGAAAGAAAACACATAGTTGCTTATTTAAAAAATTATCCATTTTGCATACATATTTTTTTAAAGTAACGGTATGTTTTCTTTAGACTAACTGATTCATCTCATTATTCTGTTCATAAAAGTATTAAAATACAATTATCAAAAAGTCAATAGTTTACGAGGTATTTAATATTTTATGTCAATATGTGTCAGAATAAAGTGTAAAATATCTCGTAAACTAATGGTTTTTTTTATATTATTACCTTAATACTTTTATATGCAGAATAATTAGAGAAATATCAGATTATGTAAAAAAATCATACAATTCCATTTTAAAAAGGGGAGGTAATCTTCATATCTTTTTGATGCCTCTACTTAGAAAAAAACAACATGATACATCCTCCTCGAAACCGTTTTATTTTCGTTTGAAACATTTTTTTGTATCATCAAAAATAAGCGAAATATTCAAGATGTTCGATTCAAATGGACCACCCTGTACATATTTATTCTATTATAAAATAAATTTTATATATATAAATCTCAATCTTTTAATTTAAGTACATTATATATTCAAGATTATTTACATTATATTGCGATGCATGAATTAATTGTCTAGTAAATATATAAAATATATATTTATCCTATATCTTTGCAATCAATCAGTGAATCTTAATGAAACTTTGCATTATTTGGATATTTAAAATAAGGGAGAAATGAAAGACATGTTTTGAAAGAGCCATTTCATATTTCAATTAATTGAATATCGTCAAAAATTTAAAAATATTTTCATTTAATAACAGTACTAAAACTATGTCGTTCATAAACATTTGACAGTCATCATCAAAACGGCATTGCCTAATGAGAGATGCAAAATTATCGTTACAAAAAGTAAGTTTCTTGAGTAAATTTCCAAATTTTTTCATTTATTTATGATTTATAGCTTTTAGAAAAAATATTAAATTTTAAATATTAAATATTAAATTTTTTATCAAATATTATATATATTAACGTAACTAAAAATGGAATTACAAATTTTTTGTTTATTAGATATTCCGCGATTAGATTTTTTACACATAATGTTATGAAAGAGCCGGTATTGAGAGTTATGAAAAAGCTCTATTATTGCTTTGTCTGGCTCCTTCATTGCATACCCAGGGATATTATTTTCAATACAATTGACTTTGTATTTTTTAAATACTATTCAGACAATTTTAATACGTCAGTACTTTTTTGAAATATATCGTATTGATGATCAGTCCATTTTCATTCGCTCAATGTCAATACATCGTCGTGTGGCATCAATATATGATCCTGTCAGCATACTTCTGTACAAGATTGTCTTTAGATGCAGTCTCTTTCTTCGAGGAGTATCTCTGTGTATATTTATTGTAGGTAAATAGATTTTCATGTATTTCTGTTTTATAAAATCCGATTTGTAGATTATATTGCTGTTAGGTCAAGTTATACTGAAGCATTTTACTGACTCAATTTCCATATACTCTTTTCAATTATCTATCATGTTTAATTATTTCTTTAGAGATTATTCTGCAAGTAATGAAGACCGGTATCAATGCAAATTATACTCTGACTGGGCTTATACTTTATATGGCAACAAGAGAAATTTGCATTTTTTTGCAATAAATGTTTTTAATTAGAAATATTACATTTTCTATTTTTCACATTTATTAATTTTATAAAAAAATAATAATTGTTAAAGGATGACATTTTGATTTTATTTATATTAAAGCTTATATAATTTAGTACCTACTTAACTCTTTCAAAACAGGTAATGGCTTTTTCAAAATCACGTTGTTTTGAAAGAGCTGAATTTTTTGTTTATGAAAAATGTTGATTAAATCTCTATTAATGACTAAATATTATTTTTTTGTTAAATGGATACAGATGAGTATACTTAAGTAAGAAAGCGATTATATTTGTTAAACACCAGATTAAATTTTTTTTTTCATATTAAAAAAAACAGCTCTCATGCTTATTCTTCCTGCTTATTTCTACTTATAAAAGAAAAATGTAAATCTTTTTACCACTTTTCAAATTTTAATTTTTAATTAACAATTAAAATAATATTAGGTGTTGGAATTAATTCGTAGCGTTTTACAAGTGATGGGAAGTACTTTCATTAATGTATTTTTTAATGCTCATGTGAAATAAATAACATTCTTTCATTAAAAAACGCTACGAATTAATTCCAACACCTAATAATAAATAAAATAAATAAACTACAAAAATGTATTATTAAACAAAAATATAATCTTGTTCGCATACAACTTTCGTATGTACATAGTCTATTTGAAGGGCAAATATTAAATATATTTCCAAATTTAATTTTCTTTGTACGAAGATTTGTACGTCTAATACAGTCTTAAAAAATTATTTTACGGAAAAAATGGCTTATTTACTTAATTTATTACTTAATTTTTTACGAAGTTTCACGCTCTTATAATATTATTCTCGAATTTTGGGACACCTTGTATATAATTCATATTATATAGTAAGATATATTATTATTTCTAATTAAACAATGATATATTTATGCGGTATAACATATTAGTACAACAATGTTAATAAAGTATTTTTTTATAATTGTGTGTTTGCTTTATTATTATATATATAAGAAGTGCAAGATATATCCTTTATTCCTTATGCAGTTGATATTGCAAGAAGTATTGAATACATGTGCTAACTGAATATATCAATACTGTTGATGCTTTGTTGTCGAGGCAACCGCAGTCATAACGTCCGTTAGTTTAGACATATTACGCTTGTAGCGCATCGTAGTGCTATACGAATATTTGGCAAGTTCGGAACATATTTTTCACTTTCAGAAAACCAAATACGAAACTGCTATAGAAAACTTCATTATGAGTGAAAATGTGAAATTTATTGTGACAGAAATAAATAAATTATTAGGACGAAATTATAGTATAATTGGATTTAATACCTTAAACACTGAAGACTTATTACAGGTATTTCTTTGGTATTTTATTATTGTAACATTTTCGAAAAATTCCATACATTTTTTCATAGATATTATGCAGTGTTCTGATGAAGATACAGCAACAAGATGATTCGGATACCGATATTAAATTGAATTCGCTAGAAGAAAATTCTATATACGTCTTAACAGCTCTTCGAATACTTAATTATCAATCTGATGTGGAACCCATACTGTTTAGGTACAATTAGGTTCTCTAGATACTTTGAACAAAATACATTCATATTTTACTTATTCTATCAGATTGTTCAATGAATAGTGTAAAGTATACATATACAGATGATTAAAAGTTTACAAAAGAGAACCCCAGCTCCGATGACCTTGACCCTGGCATATATTGTCAAGATCATGTTCAGGAATGATTTTTAGAAAGTTTTAGCTGTTACTCATTATTCATTAAAAAGTTATTAACAAATAAAGTTGAAAATATAAATTTAATTTTATAATTTAAACTTTACTTTAATACCATATTACTTGCATATTTGTATACTCATAGGTTAGTGCAGTTTGGGCGGGGAAGGGCTTTGTGTGAACACAGTGCATAGTGATTTTAAAAGCTTTTAAACCTGGTCAAAATTTTATGTTATATAAACTTTTGCTTGAAATATTGCTATACTGAAAAATATTGTTATACTGAAAATATTTAAAAAATCAAAAAATATATGTCTTATTTATGAATTATTTGCCATTATCGCTATTACTCGCAGCAATTGATTTGCAATTTGGATTGAAAAATTGATTCTGAGATTTAATAAAGTGATAACCTCTACTGAAAAAATTTTTTCTTTTTTTTTTATCTGAAATTGTCGGAGAAAAGAAATGAATATATCAGATGTTGCTAGCATAAGGTTCAATGTACCTTTTTTCGAAATCTTGCGAGTAATGTTTCTTAAATTGTCTTAAATGTTTCCTTTTTGAGCTTCTTCTGACATTTGTCCTATAGGAAGTAAAAATAATTGCGGAGCCATGTGTAAGATTTTATGAACAGCCGGCATTATATGTATATACTAGGAATAAAGGTAATGTAGGGGAGACCGGGGCTAAGTGGGCATCTTTTTGCAATCGTAATTTTCAATAATAAAATTAACAATTTTAGTCAAATGATTATTAGTGTTTTATAGAATCATTATAAGATTACAAGATAGAAATAAAAAGTTTTGGTGTTTGCAACTTCATTTCATCCATATTCACAAAAAATAGTGTGATCTTGGAAAATGAAATCTCAAGAATGGCTGGGGCTAAGTGGGTATCCTTTTCTTCAATTGCAATTTTTGTATATGTGATTCAAAAAATGAAATCTCAAAAATTACTTTTGATTATCGAAAGTAATTTATACAATAATACATTTGACTACCTAAACATAATAACGCGACACCTAAACTAACCAAATATCATTGATAAAGAAAACACACGAGACAATATAATATGCTTTCTACAATATAAATTAGGAATTCATATATTTTTGCCACTCAAAATTCAAATGCCAGCTAGTCCCAGTGCTCATTTAACTCCAGTCTCCCTTATTATACAGTACGGCAATGCTTTTTGGATTTTTGAGAAGGAAGATTTGAGAATGTAAGCAGATACAAGAATTAATAAAGAGTTAATTCAGATTTGAAATAATTTTAAAAATTATCTCTTGCGGATATATGAAATTAATACAAATTCATTTTAAAAAATACAGTTTTTGCAAATTGTTTAAGAGCATCTGTATTACTTTCATATTCGCAAGATATAATCTTTAAAATTACTTTAAATTAATGAATTAAATCTACATTAACTCCTGTTATATCTTCTGAAGCATCTTCAATTTTAAAAAAATCTTGCTGTTTCCATCATTTATGGTCTCACTTCCATCAGGTTTTTTGATATACAATAAGTCTCAATTTTGTTCGAAATTTTCTCTGAATTTCTTTTTTGTGCCGAGATATTGTTTCTTTCTTTTCATTTCTTCTAATTGTCATTTTTTAACTTTTAGTCTATGAGAAACATGAAGCAAAAGTTCGAAAAAATAAATTCATGCATACAATGTTGATAACTCGAATTAAAATGTCGATGTATCAATTTTTATTTATTATTCATTTTTATATAAAAATATTATAGTAAAGTTATGAAAAAATCAAGAGTATGAGATTTTATACTTTCCGGCAAATATAGACATGACTTACAAAATATCTCAAAAATATCTGTTAATTTTTTATTTTTGACAAAAAATATTTTGTAAATGATTGATTTCAATTATTGTTTGATATTTTTACAAACAAAATAATGAGAGAAATCAATTAGTATAAAGAAAACACATAGTTTATCCATTAAAAAATTGTCCATTTGCCTATATATTTTTGAGCAGCTACGTATTTTACACTATTATTTGAGGCACGCGAAAATTTTTAATATATTAAATTGATTTTACAATTCATTTTGCGTATTAATTTCTGCGTCCGACTCCTATTGCCCTTTCTCTTATTATTTTTCTCTCTTTCTCTTATTATAGTTTTAAAGCAACTACGATGTATTTTCTTTATACCAATTGATTATTCTGTTCATAATAAAAGTATTAAGATATGATTATTAATAACGAGATATTTAATATTTCATATCCATATGCCTTAATAAGATATAAAATATCTCGTAAAATATTTAGCTATTTCTATCTTTTAAATACTTTAAAACAGTACTTCTAATACTTTTATATGCAGAACAATTGGAGGAATCATATTATGTAAAACAAAAATATATAAAATATATCTTAAATAAAAGTTATAATTTTAAAAAATTAGAAAACAAAGAACATAAAAAACCACAGCACAGGTTGTCGGTTGTGATAATCAAACTTTCATCAATAAAAAATTTTTTAAAGCGTTTATCAATACAACATATCAATCAATAAACAATTAAACGTTTCGGCCACAATCTGGCCATCTTCAGTAATTAAAAATCTTCTTAAGACGCAAATTTACATTTAGTTGAGTTAAATACAACAGTCGGTTGTTAAAATAAAATAAAAGTGTTCTTATTTGTGTGAAAATGCATTGTACAGTAATCTTACATCGCCAGTTTTTATATCCGGACAATGTAGAACAAGAATTTCCAGATTCTAATCAGAATGAAATTGTATATCGTTAATCTCTTATACTCGAAATATAAAGCATAGACGCGTTACCTGTTTTACAGCCAAAAAACTAAGCGGTGGATCTCAAATATCACTTTTGCAAACTTAAAATTTAGTCGTGACATTGTGTGTTGTTACTAGTCATAACATAAAATAAAAAATATATAAAATATATAATTATAAAATATATTTAAATATATAAATAATATATAAATTATAAAATATAATATATACAGTATTATAATATATAATTATAAAATATATAATTAATAAAATATATAATTTAATTTAAAAAATATTAGGTAATCTTAATTCGATTTTAAGGACACTTTCTCAAGATCAATCAAGGACATCACCTTTTTTTCCTCTTATTAGGTGTTGGAATTAATTCGTAGCGTTTTACAAGTGATGGAAAATAAGTTCATTAATGTATTTTTTAATGCTCATGTGAAATAAATAACATTCTTTCATTAAAAAACGCTACGAATTAATTCCAACACCTAATATAAATGAGCAACTTTTATTTAAAACATTTTTATTTTAAGGAGATATTCTACTGAATGGATTAAATGGATCACCTTGTATACAGGGTAATTGCGTATACATATACGTATATACATATACATATATCTTTATGGTTTAATAAATATAGGTATCATTTCGGAAGTGTAATGACATATCGGGACTTTTGGTATATATTGAATTTGACCAGGATCGTGCAGAGTTTTTGCCGTACTGTAAAAGTAAATATGGGGCCCTAGCTTTTCATAAAGTTAAAAAAGTTTTGAAGAATT